CAAACATCAAATTTAGCATTTCTCCAAAACAACATTTATAACATCTATTTTTCGATAATGTGTCCACAAAATACATACAGTATCATCCTGCCTCACACAGAGCATAAATATTTAACGCATGTATTTTCCTAATGATCTGTATTTAAATGAGCTGGGGTTGTCATTGGAGACAGCTGCTCTTCGCTCAGTGACAAACAAACATGTGTACAGCAGTGTCATCTTTTACAAAACATTGGACAAAAACAGGAGAAATACTGGGAACATGATGTCCCAGAGCTGGCTCACACTACCCAATACTCCTCCAAAATATATACCTTTTCAAACTGGCAAAGAACAGTTATCACACTAGAAGCATTTTGTCCTGTGTTCCGTGTTGTATTACCTTTACCTTTTAAAGCTAAAAAAGGCATTTGAAAGAGGAAGTGGAGATATTTTTTCTTTGCCTGGAATGTTTCACAGTATGGCATTAAACACACAAATTTTATTACAGTTGCTATTTCAGGTGTTTCAAATGTACCATGAGTAGGGTTGATTCTCCACAGATATGACTTTTAACTTGGCCTGGTTGTATTGACTGCTTGTCTCCATGGAGATAGCAAGGTTTTATGCCATACTGTGGAACATTCCAAGTTAATTCTCTTCTGTTTTGTGTTTATATTTAAGTTTATTCAGTTTTAGTTAAAAGCAAATCGCCTGTTTTTCAGTGGTGTTAGGGTTATTCATATTTATTATTATTATTTTTTTATTATTTTTGTATATATATTTTATTTTCTTTCTTCGATTTTCACATTGAAGCCTTCATTTGCAGCACTTTCTTGTGCTGTAATGTCCTATGCCTTTTAAGAGCTAACAAAGGCATTCGAAACAGAGGACGTGGATATTTCTCCTTTTGTTTGGAGTATTATTCCACACTCGGCTACGTCACTTAATAGAGATTAAATGCTCGTGCTGTAATCATTTCCTCGGGGTCTTTGCACATGCTTTGACTTGCTGTCACAAATTCACGGCACAATTTCAGTTGGATGCCTCGGGAAATTCTCTTGGTGGAAATCCGTTATTTTTGTGCTTTAAAAAGGGGGCCAATGTTTCCGCTTTTTTCAATGAGTGCGTTCCTCTTGAGTGTTTCACCGTTGCCTACAGTTATTGAATGCACACACCGCTTTGCTCATAGTGCTTCTATTGAGCTGTGTGTAAATGGGAAGGTGTTGGTAGAGGTCATGCATTAAGTACATGGAGTTTCATTAACATACAGATAGCCTGGAGATGTGTAATGTACAGTTCCTATATGAAACTACTAAAGTTGTTGCCAGCGGTTACAGGCTGGTGCTGGGTAACTGGTACTTGTGTTATATGGTAGATTAGTTCTTCATTTCCACTCAGAATGCACCCATTTCCTATTCCAGTAATTTTGCTATTCGTTTTTAGTATTATATCTGCCTCAATAACAAAAGTGCAATAAATTCCTACAGAAAATATTGCGACAATATTGCAGAATGTTTAAAGCTACCAACGCAATAACTAAGGGTGTGCAAAAATATTGAAATATTGATATATCGTATTGTTATTAAATTATTTTGTTACAGAGCTACAGTTGTGTTGCTTGTTTAGAGGGAGGAAACTCATTTATGTGACACATTTGATGTTTTCACTGTTTTGGTTATTAAAACATGTGTGTTTCATATTAAGTTTGCACAAGAAGTGATTTAACACTTAAGACTTTTAGTGTCACAGCCATGATCTAACCATTATTTTTTATCAAACCATATCGAATCGAAAGTGCACTGTATCGAGATATGTATCATATCGTGGCCTATGTATCGAGGTATGTATCGTATTGGCAACTTCTTAATGATACCCAGCCCTATCCTCAGTAAACCTATTTCTAAATTAATAAAATGAGTTGTAATAAATGGCACAGCACTATTCTTCTATATTTAGGTAGTGTGTATAATCACTCATAGATAAGTGCTTGTTAATTACCCAACCCTCCCACACGTAAACATCCAAGGAACAAGGAACTTTTTCTCACTAATGCAAATAAAAGATGCATTCAATAAATATTAACCCCAAGATTATATTGTTCATCTCTGATATTATTATTGGATGATATGCATTTATATATGTATAGTAAATATACAGTAGTTATTAGTGTGACTGACCTAAGTATGAAATCTGCTCTTGACACTGACACAGCCTACATATATAGCTTTTTTCCTTATATTTTGTTGTATTTTGCTGGGCTGACAGAATCTCAATTGTAATGTAAAAATGTTTGTTAGCTCTGACAGGACATTTCAACACATATTCAGACGTTGGACAATGTATTTTGTACCATAAACAAACAAAAAAATTGAATAAAACAACAAAAGTTTTCGGCGCAGTCGACCGCAAAGGCATTTTTGATGAGCTCAGAAGCATGGCATTTACACAACAGCTGCAGCACATTCATTTTTTATTCATATTCTTTTATTTTCATCACAGAGCTGAATTCACAAAATGTCAGCAATGGACTATTGTGAAACTAAATGCAGTTTCTAAGCTTTCAAGGACTATTGCTTCAAACTCAACGTAGTCAAAAATAAACATACTTTTGACCACTGTTGTCTGTCATTAACAGTTTTTTCTTTGAGTAAAATATGTCAGGAACAACACTAAAAAGTAAAAACTTCAAATACCTTAAGAGAAGATTAGCAGCTGTAGTGAAATATATTGTGAAAGTTTGAATTGCCTAAACCAGTTTGACTACGGCGTATTAATTCAAAGAGCACTACAGGACATTAACACCAAGCAGCAGATCAAAAGTCTATGTAAATCTAGACATATATATTTATAGCAGCAGGATTCCTTACTTCTGAAATGGCCTATATTTGAAACCTGGGGGCATTAGAGGTTCAAAGCTCTCTGCCTGGGTATTAGCATGACTGTAATAGACATAGCATTTAACCTTCATTTGCTCTAATCAAAGCTTGGTAAATCATATTTTATGCAAAAAATCACTGAAACAGTCCATTTAAAAGGCTGTGTGCAAAAATGAGCAGACATTGTGGCTCCGTTGCTTTTTTCAGTGTCACCCCGGAGAAGTCCCCACCAGAATGTAGCTAAATTTAGCCCTGCAACATCAAAGGTCCTATTTGCACCAAGAGGATGTTAATCTGACGACTACAGGCGCCATGCCGGTACACACAAGCCAGAGATCCTCTACTGGAGGTGCCACACCATAACACAAGCACAAACACAAACAACACTAATACTGTACCAGCAGTAAATAATAGCTTTCCCCCGTGCTCATTTGCTCTTATAAGCTTCTGCAAATGTCTCAGTCAGCAAGTGCCATGTGATGTTGCAACCTCCAGGGTAGAATGGTACATCTCCACAAAATACTGACTATCACATTATTGTATGCTCTACTGTAGTAGCAATAAGTTAGATATTATCAAACAAAAAACAACTGTAAATACAAGTGATTATATTGTTCTAATAGATGCTTTAGAGAAGCAAGGAGGTGGGCATCACATTCATACAAAGACAAACTAAGTAGTGTAAGTGTTTTGCCCAAAGACTTGACAACAGTATGCACTGATCACAGTTGGGATTGAACTGCATATCTTAAGGTTTGTTTGTGTGTCACTGACTCCTACATGCAAACAAAGCTGACAATGTATTGACATTATTTCAAGTATAGAATCACTGAATTAGGGGAGGCTGAAAGCTTTACTGTTCAGACATTAACAGCTCCGCATTTTATAAGCTTATCAATGTACATCAATGTGGGATGCTGTCATTTGGCTGTGTGAGGCCAGTCAGTGTTACCACACATTTGAGCTGATCAGTGGTCCCCCTCTGGACTTTGTACCACAGATGGACTTTTACAGGTCATTATCAGGGTGTTAGTGCAGTTTATAGGCTCCTCTGTAAGTGCCAAGCACCCCCACTTTCCTCGTGAAAACCTACTGTGCTCTTAGTGGATGCTTTTAACAAGTCTCATTAGTGCGCAGTGATGACAGTATTTAACAGGATTTCAGGTGTTGTAGATAACCAGCAAGTATTGTTGAGTCAGCTGAGACAGACTCTAAAATAGTATTTTTTACAGTGATAATATTTTTATCACTAGTGCTTTGCAGTCAAGTGACAGAAAGGCAGCTGCTGTCAGAAGCTCCGTCTCGCTCGTCAGTGCAATGCAAATGGACGAGATTACTGCGCTTGGCGTTCAAATTGCATCACTTATCTACCTATCCATGTGCCTCCCCCTCACAAACACAGTTTGGGTATTCACTTACACTGTGTAACAAGCAGAAAGGCTGAAGGACATAAAGGGCACTGAATGAACTCCGCAGGGTCATTTCTGTTCTTGAATAACTGTCACCATCGTTGTAAAGCTGCAAATAAGATCCATGGACTCCTGAACAAAAGAGTTGCATTCAGTGATTTAAAGCAAAGCTGATATACCAAGAGCAAAATGTTGTTTATAGCTGCAAGATATCCACACATTTGCTCCAAAAACGCAATTATCTCTATACAAATTGGGTGCCACTTTAAAATGACTACACAGCCTTAATAAAACACAAAGAAACATTTCAGTGTTTTACTTAATTAAAAGAAATAGTTTTTCGACTTAGTAACTGACTGGTACTTAATTTAGGGGTTAGGAGTTAGGGTTAAGGTTACTACACCTGACTCATTCTTAATAAACTATTTGTGTATTGTGAATTAAGTCTTTCCTCGTGTTTTATTAGGGAGTAGTCATTATAAAGAGGTACCAAATATTCTACTGTCCTATTTGTGTTTGTTTAGACCAAAACCTCTGTTCTGTTACACAGTGATGAGGATGACATCACCTACATGTGCCTAGGGTTGACCTGTGATCTGTGTGATTTGAACAACATCATTTTTGAAGCCCAAATCCTCCACTGTATTTCTTTAAAGTCAGCTCTCATTCAGTTGTCCTGAGGTGCTCCACTGGCTCTAACTGTGCCTCTCTCCCCCACTCTTATCTGCTGCAGGCACAACCAGGCAGCCCAAGGAAGGAGAGGTCCCGGGGGTGGACTATAATTTCGTGACCGTTGACCGGTTTATGGAATTGGAGAAAAGTGGCGCCCTGCTAGAAAGTGGAACATATGAAGGTAAGGATTTAGTCAAGTGACGCTTAACAGTGCATGTAATTATGGTTACCCTCTCCTTATGATGTACAGTTCTGGACCAACTCTTAGATGTTAGTAGAAGTTTAAGTACAGGAAGATCCAGAGTTCAAATACTATTATTATTATACTATTATTATATATTGTAGGCCTTTCTTAGAGGTAGACTTATCCTTCAGTTATAAATCTTATACATTTACAGTAGTGGTCATATAGACTCAGAAATGATTCAGAATTAGTAACTACTTAATCAAAAGTTAGGGTTATAAGGTAAGGTTAATTATTTATTAAGTTTTTATTCATATTTTATGAAGGCTAATTAAGTTATGGTTATGTCATGTCATATCACATGTTACCACATACATTTTTGTGTCTTCCACTGAAGAGTAATACATTTTGCTCCTTAAAATCTTTCACTGATAGATATTTTAAACTAAGCAAATTAATCCAACTACTCATTTACTATGCCAAAATACATTAATTTATCCTTTCCATAATAAAAATAAACTCTTCATCTCAACTTGCACAGTATTGTATTTTATAGCTACTGTGGTCAGATGTGGCTGCACTGTATATCTGTGGCATTTCTCAGGCTGAGTGACAAGGTTTTGAGTGAATGTGAAGACAGGCTCATAACTCCTGCTCTACACAACAGCTCCTCCGTCCCATCCATCTCTGGGCCTGGAGCAGACAGCAGTGGCACCCCTCCTGGAGCAGCTGAAGGCAGTCTGCTGCAGTAAATTGTGAATGAAGATCCCCAGCTAAAAACATCCAAGTGCTGTGTCCACGTTGGCTCTGTCTCTGGGCGCAACCCCTAATTCTGCTCTGTGGAGATCTTCAGTAATCACAATAAACACACTCTCTATCCTGGCTCTCCTGTGGTCAAACAAGCCTGAGGCGCAGGGTTTTTCCGTGCCCTGAAAAATGCACGCCATCGACAATATATGCTGCCTGGCCACTGCTAACTCCCACCAGACCTCTGCCTTTGCACAGATAACACCTCTATCTCTCTATTTTTCTCTATTTCCCCTTCTCTCACTCATTCTCACCCACTCTCTGCTTTTTTCCCTCTCTCTGTTTTTCTCTTCCTCTTTTTTCCATCTTTCTCTTTCTGTCTTTCTCCTCTCTATCTCCTGGTGTGTCTTAAAATGTTTTTGACAGATACAATAAAGGCATGTTAAAGTCAAAGTTTCTCCAGCTCTCTTTCTTTTCATATATTTCCCTCTCTTTCCCTCACTCTCTCCACCCCCCCCTCACCCCCCCTTTGCTCCCTCTGTTTGTCACTCTCTCTCAAAGTCCAAATTTCTCTGTCTCTTTCTCTCTCTCTATTTTCTGTCTCCCCCTCTCCCCCTCTTCTCTTCCCCCTGACTCCTGTCTCTGCCACTGTCCCACCATTGCCATGGAGAAAAAATAACTGGCTCAGAATTGAAGACGGTCAATTTAACGCTTGAGTGCCAGAGCAGGGGTAGATCTGTGAGGTTGGCGTCACTTTCCACATTGGGAGAAATAAAGTTTGTTCTGCATAGTTGCCTGGCTATCATTCTGGCTTTTGTACATTTCAATAATTTAACGGCCAATTAGATGTTGGTGAAAGAGAGATGAGGTGGAATCTGCAGGAAAAAGGGCCTGAGTTACAGCAGTGTTTTTCAGTCAATTTGATACCAGGTGTCTGACAAGGTTATTTTAAACAGCTCTTAAAACAGTGAACATCTGACTACATTTTCAAGTAAAATACCCCAACTTGTTATAAAGTTGCTATATTACCAAAGCAGATTTTTACCTACCATTTTAGGTACATTTCTACAAGTTTAAAAATCTTATATTACACTATTTTCTGATCTATCTTATGATGTTTCCTCATCAAAGCATACCTGGATTTGTGTTTTGTTTCATTCAAACATTTTTAACACAAATCCTGCCTTTAGAGTTTGTCTCTCAAACTCAAAACACTCTGTTCCATCTAGTGTTGCCATGTGGTAATACAGGAAATGCACCACTGCGTTTTTAAACACCGTACACCTTCACTAGAATCATTTGGATTGTTTCAGCTGTGGAATTGACAATCTCTACTGAACAATTGGTAAAATGTAGCTGTTAACCTGAAAACTACTGCTTCGTGACATCACAAGGTGGAACAGAGCATTTTAAGCTTTGGAGATGTAGACAGACTACTTATGCAGGGTTACTCAAACATGCATGAATGAAAAACATATAAAAACATTCTAAAATGGCTTAAAGCTCACAACAGTCAATTTTGTGTAATATAGGCCCTTTAAATTGGCACATAAATCTTCAAACTGGTAGTTGTCAATGCTAAGAATACAAGCTTTTAGTTTGTATTGTTCCAGAGTATATATATTCGTTTTTATTTGTCATATTTTGTTCTTAAGCCGTGCTTGTACTTGTACTTAAGCCTTGATTATACTTTGAAAAACCACAAAATGTCAAATGGCAGCATAGAAGTGTTTTCTTAGCTATGTCCTTTATAGTCTCTTTTTTTTCTCTGAACAAAACACAAAAGCTTTGTTACAGGAAACCTTCACTGGATTAACAATGCTCTCAAGGTCTGAGTCCAAAATTCACTATTGAGCTTTTCTTCTGCCAGAAAAACATTTCTCTCAAGTAAATTTATCACATAGAACAGAGAGGTCAAGTTTATCAGTGGTCTTTATCACATATTGTGCCGCTGCTTACAGATGGTCAAATGACTCTGAATATTAAATAAAAATATGAAATGGAGAAAGTAGTGGATAGCAAGTCAGTCCAAAACTGTATTCAAGTTGAGATGTTTTTCCAAAGTCTGAACCTGTCAAATACGCCAGAAACAAAATCAAATATTAATAATTTCCTTTTACTCTGATGCTCTTTTGTATTTTGAAAGACTTTAGCCTACTTGACGCGTAAGGATGGATGGCAGTCTGTGGATGATGCTCTAACATCCATCTTGCTTTACAGAATATGTGTCTTATATTAAGTATGATAATGAATACTGTCTGTTATTCTTTCTGATGGGTTCTGTCAGACTGACTTCAGACTTGTTTTCATTTAAAGCATTTATTTATCCACACCACATAATGCATCGTGTACTGTATTTTATCTTTTTTCCTCTATATCAAACAAAGCCTCATTTTGGTGCTTGGTTCTAATCTACATAAACATTATTATTTTTGTCTTGACTTGTATTTTCTATCTGTAGATAACTTCTACGGTACCCCAAAGCCTCCAGTTGAGCCCAGCGCTCTGCTGCTAAATGTAACAGACCAGCTGTTGCCCGGTGCCAGACCCAGCTCTGAGGGCAAGAGGAAGCGCAACAAGTCCGTCAGCAACATGGAAAAGGCCAGCATCGAGCCCCCTGAAGAGGAGGAGGAGGAGAAGCCCATCGTCAACGGCAACGGTGTCGCTGTTACCCCAGGTCAGTCTCCACTGTGTCCTTTCACCCTGTCCTATAAGTCTGTCGAGGCAGGTGGATGTGTGGAGTTATGGTTTTATTAACCATAATCTTACTATTTCCTCTGTTATATAGGTAATTAAATGCTAATTTAAATGTAACTTCGGCAGATCTGTGTTAGCTGATATCGACATGGTGATAAAATTAGACTGTAATGTTCAGACTTTACTTTTACCAGTAATGAAAGGAGACTGAAAGGACCATTTGTGCACTGAATGCAGTGCAGTTTCCTCATTAAAGTCCATGGGAGTCTCTTGTCACTTGTCACCTGTTCTTTTTAGTGAACTCCTCTGCACTGACAGCTTCAGGCCACACTCGTACAGTTATTTTTGCAACAACTTGGATTTTAATAATGTGGCTCACTGTTGTGTTCTTTTTTATTTTATTTTGCTTGTTTAAACCCTTGATTAATTTTTGTAAACTCCAAAAACAGCTGGTAGCAAGGACAACTCTCATGTTTTGTAAGTAAATTTGAATGATAAAAGTATTTGAACAGCTTTAAACCACACTATTAAAAACAACTAAGGCTGATATGGCAAAAAAATAAAAATAAAATTTGATTTTATTGCACACACTGGATCGATTATGATTTAACTGATTTTAATCAAGCTATAGCAGGGACTGCTGCTGAAGCTCTGTACATTTTCATTCTTGTCATATCATACTATTTAAAAACATTTAAACAGCTTTCAATTATATTTATATAGATATGTAATCTAATTTGAATTGTTTAGAATGATAATTTATTTTATTTTATTTTATTTATTTATTTATTTTTTACAATACCTATTACGTAATTGTGCAATTGTCCTTGCAAGTAAGAAAGTCAGGAGTAAAAATATGAATCCCCGATTATTATGACACAAGATTTTGCAATGTTTCTAAATCCTGATTATTAAGATTGATCAAATAGATGTTCCAGGTTTTGAGCACATTCAAGCCTTAGAGTGCATCCCCTGGTCACATGAAAACACTCAAATCAAAGGGGGCATTATAAAGTTTATTTCTGTTATTGCAAATCTAAAACCATGCTTTGGTCCTGTGACTTTCAACACTGGTTTAATGACTTGAGGACAGCTCTTTCACAGTTCAACATTAGGCAGCACAGTATGTGCTTAAGTATGGAGTGCAGGATTACACTGCATGTTTCATTTGGGCTGAAGTTTTGGAAAAATCTTAATTCATTGACAGTAAAGGATGAGGTTTTGGGTTTTACACCAGAGGAATCTAAAGGAAGGTAGGATATCTTATTTTCTTCTTAATGCTGTTTTCATGTAGACTGTGAAAAGAATATAAAGAAGGCAGAACACAACATTTAACATTTTGTTTGTATTTTTAAACCTTATGGATCCACAAAAGAAAGAGGTCTCAGTTACACATAATCATCAAGCTTAATGAGAGAAAAAATACAACACATTAACATAAAGCATACAGTAAAAATATAATATTTACCGGTACTATGTGAAAATACAACAAACAAATTTAGTGTAGTGTGCTAAAACATCCGAGTTAAAGCATTGAATACCGTACCTATCATTTACTTATTTATTTGCACTTCTTAAAGGTGCACTAATAACTGCCAGCTGCTTGTCTCCATGAAAATGTTATTACTTTGCTTGGGATGTTGCACAGCTTGGCAATAAACTAATCTTGCATATTGAATTTCATATGTTTCTAAACATATATTCTTACTGTGAGTGGTGTCACTTCTCCACAAATCTGACCTGTAACCTAGAGATAGATACATTTAAACTGTGGTTAAGCAATAGATGGCAGATCCTCCACCAGAAAGGTCACATAGTGTACCTTTAATTTGTTGACAAATGAAAAGTCAATTATTTTCAGGAAGTGTACAGTTTGTTCAGGGATCAGTGATTGCCAGATTGAGTTAACAAAGCAGCAGTGAGCACGATGTTCTCTTGTGCTCCTGGGGCTCCCTGCTTGAGGCCTGAAGGGGGTCCCGCTGTGCTCTGGTGAGTGTGTGATGACCAGGAGAGCCATGGGGTCGATACAGTGCATGTGATCCAAGCAGATAACCACTGCTCTTTTCCTCTCATAGATTATCGCTCAAGCCTCTTTTGACTTTGTCCCTACTCAGCTTCCTTACTCGTAACGTAACTATTGGAATGTTCTATTTGTGTCCCACTAGTGACGTAAAATGGTATATGTGGGTAATGCGCACGTACGTGTAAATGACCTTCTTGTGTATTTATGCCTCAAACAATTACAAGGACCTCCATGATGTTGTCATGTTGCTCGCATATGATAGTCATTTGCTTTTTGAATAGCAGATTTAATAAAAAGGGAATTTTTGACTGAAAATTAAAGAAACCATTGTATTTATTTGTTGTATTAGGCCTACATTTTGGATTTTTAACACAACCAGCTATTATTAATTAACAAACAACTATATAGTTTGCCAGGTTTATTCTCCACAATTTAGGTACCTCAAGATCCATGTTTATGCCTGAGCACTGAATTTTTATCATAGTGAGATAGGGCCAGTGCTTTAGCGGATAACTCAACTTCAAAATGACTATATTCATGCAGGATGCTCTCATAATTCACTTTCATATTGTACACCTCTGCCTGACACTCAACATGACTTTTTTTATGTACAGCACATCTCCCTATCACTTATACTTTCTGCATCTACCCAAATCTAATCTTTTATCAATCTCACCTCCATCGCTCTTCATCACTCTCTCCTCGCATCGCTTCCCTCACTCACCTGCTCTGTGTAACTGAATTGAATATGTTTGATTCACTGTGCCCTGGTCTTGTCCCCCCAGAGTCCAGTGAGCATGAGGACAAAAGCACGGACGCTTCAGCAGACCCTGAATCAGTGCAGACCAACCCAGCCGCAGACACCACCTCTGAGGGGTCGAAGGATGACAAACAGTCCCCCCAGACCACAGCTCCCAAACCAGAGGAGAACGAGGAGCTAGGGCCTCTGCCGGACAACTGGGAGATGGCCTACACTGAGAAGGGAGAAGTCTATTTTATTGAGTAAGTGGAAATTTTGGGACTGATTTAGCAGCTTGTTCTAAAGTTTAAACAGTTGCCATTATGTCATTATTAGAAAAAAACTTGCTGTATATACCATTTTACAACAACAAAAATCTGCATTTAACAATATTAATTTTAGCTGCCCCAATCTGTATTAAATATTATTGGCCTAAAGAATCAATTACAACCAAGTAGCTTCTTTGTACTGTCCCATTTCTTACTGGGGTTTTATACTCACAGTAATTATCTTTTGCATGAGGAACCTTAAAATGAGAAATATATCTTGGACATTGCTTTTGTTCATATTGATTATGGGCAGTATACCGTGTAGCTCTCTACTTTAGTTCAGAAATGAGTCCAGCGTTCAGTCCATCAGCAGGTAAAAAATAGATCTTTACCTGCTGCTAATCTTTGAAGTGAAAGTGCTAAAACCTACATTTCCTAATCCTCTTTGTTTGGAAACCTTTTTCTCCAGGGTGTAGATTAGGTCTAGATCTTAAGTCGTATAGATTTTGTTTCAGATTTAAGGTAACATTATTTTAGCAGGATTCTCTCACTTTTTTTTTTAGGTATTTTGTTGATCTAATAAACACTGGCATGCAAAGTGTGGGGTCAGTTTTTATGTCATTGTACTATGACTACCAAGCCATCGTTCCAGGGATAATTACACAAGCACACACCTATAGAGGATTGTGAAGTAAGGACAGTTTACTCATATACTTACTTACTCATATTAAATCCTTGTGTGTATACATACAGAAAAGAAGATCCTTATAATATTCTTCTACGTGACCTCCATGTCTTCTCCTCCTTACATTGAAAACATACTTTGCCACATTCATCCAAGCACTGAATTTGAGGCTTTAAGTTTTTACTGAGAGTTTCATTGAAGTGATGCAATGCCAAAAGTTTGAGCAGCTGCCAAAAAATGCTTTCCTTTGATTGGCCTCTATATGAGATAAATTTAAGCATGAAGCAAAAGGAATAAAAGAAAGGGGAGAGCAATGATTGCAAAGATAAGTTTAGTGATTAAAATTGGAAGTGAGGGTGCAGGAGTGGGTAAAAGTACATATCTTAAAGGTGCACTGTGCAATTTTTCTGGTGGAGGGTTCGCTATCTACTTGTCTCCATGGAGATGTTTTGCTTGGCCTGGAATGTTCCATGGTATGACATTAAACATATTCATTTAACATTTATTCATTACGGGTGTTTCTGTTGCTCAAAAACACAATACTTGCTGAATTGAATGTAGCGTAATGCTGTAACCTGCTTGTCTCTCTTGTGGTAGGTGTAATATATACTGTGGAACATTCTAGACAAAGCAATAACATTTCCATGGAGACAGACAGGTGGCGGACCCTCCACTAGAAATGTTACCCAGTGCACCTCTAAATGTCCATTGGTGTCAATAGCTGAAGAAGTGGTATAATACTTGATGTTTTGAAGGAGATAATTAAATACCCTGTACATAAAAGATAGATAGCTGAGTTTTCCATAATGCAATATATAACTCCTTTGGTTTATTCCACATTTCATTAGATTGAATTCATTGATCCAAACAACATCTTCCTCCACACAGATGTAATAAAAGAAATAGGACAGAAAGTATGAGGCTGTACAATCCTACAAATTTAGCTCAATCATATTTCTCATCTTCCATATCTCTTTTTATTGTAGCTATTACACACCTCTCCCCTCTTCTCTCAGTCTCTTTCTTGCCGTAAAGTCAAGGCATAGTAGTTTTTATTCGCCTCATGGCCTGTACTAACTCTACTAATTACTATATTGACTTATAGTTCAATATATAATAGAAGAAATAATATTAAATTAACTTCTATGACTCATTACAGATGCAAATTAAATACAAAAGTGTCTCATTCTGCTGTTTATTTATTGCAGCTCATGTTTTTGTTACAGTATTGTACATTTAGAATAATTTTTGCTCTTGGGTTATTGTGTCAGTGGCATATTTAGATTCAGTATTATTGTTTATCATCTATATTTTCATCAGCAATATATTGCACGTCAAAATTTGTTACATCACAGGTCTACATAGAGTTCGCTCGGCACAGTATCATTTCTGGAATTGCCCCTGCTCAATAAACCCATAAGGACCAGACCTATCCAACCCCACAGCTGTTCCCCCCCTTCACCTCCGCTGCTTGCTAATGAGCTCCAGTAAGCAAATTAAAAGTATCGATTTCTATTCTGTTAACCTAAGACATTTTTATAATACCCCCAGCCTTCCTCAACACCTTTTCAGACCCAGCCACACCACCAGGGAGGCTCATCTTCGCTCCGTGAAATAGCCCCGCGAATGAATTAAGAATCCACCAACCCTGTTCCCTTTCTCTGCCAAGTCTCGTGTTTCTTGCCATCTATCACACGCTGCCTCTCACTCCGTCTCTTTACAGCCACAACACCAAGACGACATCGTGGCTGGACCCGAGGCTGGCCAAGAAGGCAAAACCGCCAGAGGAATGCAAAGAAGATGGTGAGTACAACATCTTCATTTGATATCCTCCTTTGGCTTTTCCTGTAATGCATTGGCCACAGCATCCATTCTGCAGGGTTTAAAATTCACTTAACAAGATGTGCTGCGAGTTTTCTACATGTTTAAGCTGGCGTATGAGAACAGGATTTATATTTTTTTGATACTTAAAGGCGCACACTACAAAAAGTAAAATCTAGCCAAGTTAAGATTACTTAAATTAAGAGTTTTATCATGATTTGAGTAAATTTCAATTCAAGTAATTTTTTTTTTCAATGGAACAAGACTTGATAAGAACAAGATAAGAAAAATAACAACTATTTGCACTTAAAATAAGAAACAAAAATCTAATGTTGCTTGAATTAAGAAAACACACTTTTTCCATTGGTAGATAATTTTAGATGAATCTACTCAAATTAAGTAAAATGTTTTTAATTGAAGTAATTTTAACTTGGATGGATATTACTTTTTGCAGTGTGTTATGTAACTTTTCTGGAGAGGGTCCGCAATCTGTTTATGTCTGTGGAGATGTTAATGCTTTAGTTTAAATTGTTCAATGGTATAAAATGGTATAAAATAAATGTCAGGTTCTCATTAGTTAGAAAATGTTTTAAAGTTTTTATTGTAAGAGGGAAGGAGCCATAATTTAAAAAAAACATCTTAAAAGCATTCATTCTTACTGTGAGTGGGATCACTTCTCCACAAATCTAACCTTATTTGGCTTGCATGGAGATTCTTACGTTTATGGCAATACTATGGAACATTCTGGACACATCTTCATGGAGACAAGTAGGCCACTGGACAAGTTACACAGTGCACCTTTATGACTTATGTGACACTTTGGATAGCTTTAAAATGTATTTCAGGCTCGCATCTGCTGTAATTAATATCCTCAGCCAAGAGAGTCTTTCGCCCACTTGTGCAAATGGCAAACACAAAATGATTTCATGTCGACCCAAACTTGAATGGTGCTTCTCTATATGTGTCTATATGAGCCCTTCTAGGTTTAGTTATTTATCATTATTTATTATGAGGTGGTTTTAGTGGGCAGATTCAAGCATTGCTCCCTTTTCTCAAATGAACTTAAATGTTAATTGACTTCATTAATTAAATCTCTGCCTTCTGGAACAAGCACACTATATTCCATCACTTTTCTGTAGCCACATTGCAATGTACAGTATGCAGCTATGTGGTCATATAATGTATCGCTAATTAACAAAAATATAATGGAATCGTACTGATGGTATCAATACATGTTAATACACTTGGTAAAGCAAAAAGAAGAAAAGAAAGGAGGGAGAAATGGTTGGAAAGTTAAGTTTGGTGATTAAAATTAGAAGCGAGGTCGCAGGAGAGTGAAAGTAGCTATTTAGCTAATCTGGTGTAGAACATCTGTTTTTTGTAAGCTTACTGTCACTGTACATTGTCCCTTCAAATAAAGACTACATTACAAAGACTAAATTGCAAGTACATACGCATACCTTAAAGGTGCACCATGTAACTTTTTGGTTGGGGGTATGCCACCTGCTTGTTTCTATGGATAGGTCTTTTTTCTTCCTGGAATGTTCCATTACATGACATTAAACAGACCTATGTTATTAAGTTCTTTTTTCAGACCAAGTGTTTTCATACCTAACAGTTTCGACTGCGCCCTAGCTCAGAGCGGCCACGTGATGTTGCTTTGACGTGTCCGGTCAGCTGATTTATACAGGTTTTGGCGCTGTCTTCCTACCGGGGCTTTTTTACTCTTACACACCTGGGATACTGTTCTGAGGAAGTAGGACTGCAGATGGCGCTGTCATCCTGCCTCCTCCGGTAGGAAGACAGCACCAAAACCTGTTTAAATCAGCTGACCGGACACGTCACAGTAACATCACATGACCACTCTGAGAAAGACTGACAACAAAGTCTTGGTCTCAAAAAATAACCTAATAACATAAACACCCACAGCTAACAGCTAAACAATGGACTATTAAACAGATCTACCTTACATTTGTTAAATTACAGGTGGTTTTATAGCTCAAAGATACCTAGGAAAACAGCCATTCTGACTGAGTGGGGTTACCTCTCCATAGATCTGACCTGTAACTTGGTCTGGTTTCGTGTCCAAGAAGATAAAAAGGTTTATATATAGGTTTAATACCACACTGTGAAACATTCCAAACAAAGCAATAGCATCTCCATGTAGAAAAGCACCTTTAAAAGTTAGCTGAACAATTGATAAACGCTACAGAGCACTTTTCTGTAAATGCTTATACAGCCATATACAGTATGCATCCATGTGGTTATATAAGGTAATACTAATTAACAAATAAAGAAAATATAACTAGTCATACTAATGTAATAAATAAATGATCAATAGTAATGTAGTTGTTAACACACTTCGCCCCTGCTCTGCCTTTGTTTTTGGTCATTTTTTAGTATTTTGCACAAACATAATATTCTCACTAGAAACATTTAGGTTATATCACCTTTTGTTGAAGCACGGCTCTTCTGTTGACCTTCTCCAAACGGGTCTGTTCAATTCAGCTCCTTTGTAAACATGTGCGTGGACGGGTGGGGTGTTATTTTGTAATGCTGTGTTGAGTGCATGGCTTCGGTTTCTCTAAAAATACCTTTGGCCTTGTGCTCAGAGAGACTGGCTTTAGACGGACCCATAAACAACTAGCAAGGTCAGAGCGGGCTTGGAAGTCAACATTTTACGCGTCTTTGTGGAGTAAAAAAATATCTCAGGTGTAAAAAAGGTCTCTACACAGTGTTTATGTTTTTTATTGAATTTTGGTGAATTCTTCTGAAGAATGACAATGAAGAGAGAGAAATTAACTGAAATAAGTAGAATTATTTGTTGCATTGAGAGTTTATGTCAAGAATTTGTCATCTTTGTTATATTGTTGCGCTAGTTTTCAGTTTTCAGCTCTCAAATGCAGTCCTTACAATATGGTATTTAATGGGTTATCTATCTCCTATGGTCTTGATTCAATCAGATTGGAATTTTGTATTTGAATCCATCATAACTCTTCTAACAATTCTTTCTTTCCTCCATTAAACTGGCATTTTTGCATAGGGCTGCACGATTTTTAGAAGAAAAAAATCACATTGCCTTTTTTGTATATTGCTATTTATGTTTTCAAATAGTTTCAGCTCATATTTTAAACACACTGAGTGAAATATGAACAGTGCAAGAATCTCATGCATTTTAAGTGCATGTTTGTAGAGGTTAAAACTACATGGTAACCATATTTTTATTTACAAAAAGTGTATTTTATTGGGCATTTTATTTATGAAAAAGTTGCATCTTTTGCAGTTTGATAGTTGCCCCTATTCAGGTTTCAAGTCAATGATGTTACATTGTGCCTTTCAGCCCTTATCATGCCCCATAGCATTCAAACAGTTAACTTGTTGCCCCAAACTTCCAGACTGTTTTTGTCGCCATTCTTGCTTTATCTGTTAGATCCTCCATCCCGGTGCAGTGTGTCCCTTGTGGTTGCAGAAACTCCTTGTTCCTTCTTCATCATTAGAGATTAAAGGAGGAAGAGCTGTGCGCTGATGTAATGGCACAAAGAAATAGACAGCAGCGGTTCTTCAGAGGAATTAGTCCAAATATGATTGCACTTTTATCTCCACACTCCAATCCTTTTTATCCATTAAGGGCGTTTCACAGAGGGAGGTGTGCCCTTGTTTTTGAGCTCTGCTATTGATCTCTTTGCCTGATTCATCCAGATTAAGGGCCTCATGAACAGTGCAACATCGAAGCTTCTGGTTTTGAGACTGGTTTGTAAAATGTTGTTCTTTTGCTAAGCAGCTACACTTGACATACACTTTTTTGCTTGTCAGAAACTGGATGTACCAATAAGATCCTCGTTCACATATCACTGACTTTGTGCTATCGTTGGCACTACTGCTTGCTTGAGAGAATATGTGTTTGAGAGCACAGAACTCCAGGGGAAACGGCTGCCTCTGTAAATTTGGTATTGATCGGAGCAAAAGGTGGTTGTGTGTGTTTGGGAGTGGGCCATGCTCTGATAAGCACTAACAGGATCGCAGGGCAGAGTCTGTGAGCCGTCATGGGACAACAGTGGAGAGGAGGGCAAGGAGGGCAGAATGCTGTATTTGCATAGACCCGGGGTAATGTAAACTACATTTATACTCATGCATTTAGATTGGATTTAAGACAGTGAAGAATTAGAGGGGTCATCTTCTGTCAAGGCTGGGTTGAAAGCTGGGCACCATGAGTATGAGGCAGCAGCAGTTTGTCCCCAAAGTTGATGTTTAATTGTAGCTTGTGATCGTGTGACATCAACTATTAAGTGTTTGGTCTATGTAAGAAACAACTGTAAATGCAGTGAAGGCTACAACAGCTGCTGAAGTCTCTCCCATATAATATTACAATGATATATTCTGTTTTTAAAAAATGATAAATGAGTAGGTGAAAGGTTTTGTCAAGAAAACAAGCTCTTATGTTGTGTTTAGGCAGTATCTCAAACCCATGTTCTCGCTTTATTTCTGATTTTCAAATGGATGAGCTCAAAGATTCATGCCATGGTTCATGGTCACATGAGATATTGGAATACAGTATTTACTGAAGTTCATTGATTATTACCTCAGTTTTTTATTTCCTGAAAGGTTATTCACTGGGTTACATTTAATGAGAATTAATCAACTTTTCTTTATTGGTATTCAGCATTAGTGTGGGAGATAATGACAAAAATTAATGTTTCAAAATTGCGGGGATTATCTTGATCAGATAATATTGTTGCAGTCTATCAATAATTTTTGAAAACATGCCTGACATTGTCTCCTTTTTTTTAAATCAGCACCGTAGTTTTTTCTTCAAACCTACTTTATATAATATCTTGTAGAGGATTTATTGTCCACCTTTAATTTAGTTTATATCTACAGAAGTATGCATGTTGCATTTGAGTCTTAAGTTAAGAGTTTGTTCTACTACTGCTTATACATTTGGATGCATAAAGCAATGAGCAAACTGCACTAGTGATACAAAC